ATTAAAGATCTAAGTAAATGGATAAGAACTTTTATCTTTCTTACATTGTGCCATGGAATTCTTTTCAAATGATCGTCTTACATATCAGACATGGAATTAGATAGAACAGAAAATTTGGTATGGAACCCAGCTGAAGACGAAACAGAGCATCAATGTGTCAGAAATGACTTCATCTTGATATTCAACAGATCTAAATTGTTCGTAGTTAGCAACCATAGACAGAACTAAGCAGTAGCAATCACAGTAGACAGTAGTTTTAATTCTCTGCCATTCGGTATAAAAATGCTGAAAATCTCTGTGAGTGCATTGAATATACATTTAGTTTATTCATGTTGAAAATTATATTCACTCTGTAACGTTTGTATTAATTCATGACCAATGACAATCCCTTCCTTCCTGATTATCAATGCATTTCTGTAGAAAAGCAATGTATTTACAGTATACGTGTAAAACGCTAATCTATCAATAATACCTGCATTAATACCTTACTTTTCCTAACCAATGACAATCCTTTCTTCTTGATTATCAATGCATTTCTATAGTCAGTAGTGATGTGTTTAAATTATACATGTTCTTCCAGCATTTAAATTATACATGTTCTTCCAGCATTGATCGCTGATCATCCCTTTTTGCCTCATTTGTAATATACAAGAAAATGTCAAAGACTTGCTGAAACTTTTGATTGATATGTACTAAATTCTGTGTTTGGGTATATTCTTTTCAGATCCCCCAAAATTTACTTTGTTAACAAAAAAAAAAGACGAAAGGTAATCAAGAAATTGTGGTGTATCGATAAACATTAAACTTTAAGTATTTCTAAAATGCAATCGGCGTAAATTTTAAGACAGACTAGATGTTTGCTTCTTTTCCCGCCAGCCAACAGAATTTACTGTCATCATTTTTTTTTTAAGCATATTACCCCAAGCGAGGTGGGGGTGCCACTAGCACGCAAGGGGTTACAGAGAATGAGAGCAAGAGTAAAGAGGGGTGTTTGAGGAAAGGATATAGAGAAGGACGGGTATCAGGATCAAGGCATCAGAAGATATCGATTGACATTACATTTGAATATTTGAAGATGATATAATGGAATATACATACACCTGTGTTCCCCCTCACTGGAATAAGATTGGCTGGTGTCTGTCATAAATACCGACGGACGTGTAGGAGAGTCAAGAGCCTTAGTCTGAGAGCTAAGTCTATAATGACGCCCATTGGACTACGCCATTGATCTACACTTCTTACCTGCGACTACGACGCGTACCAGTCGATTACTGCTACTGTATTCTACTTGGTTATAGTAGTCAAAACCACTTAGCTACTTCGTTCAAATATATCACTTTCCGGGACATATCATAAGGTTATAGCTATCAGGGAAACAAGAGGAAGGGAGTTCAACTGGCGTAAAGTACGAGAGTAGCGAAAGAAGAGATAGCTTACAGAATTGAGAAGACATAGACGTAGGTACATATATGAAGGGTCCGGAGATTCAAGAGAGAGTTCACTAGCCAGTGGGAGACGGTCCCGGGCCATAGATAAAAATCAAAGTTTCGATGTATTTGATTATCATCATCATTATCATCATCCTCAGTCCATGATTGGGTGTGGTTGTAGGGTCACCGTGCAGCTGAACACCTAACCATCACCTAAGTCTCTGCAGAGGATCCGCTAGTCTACTCAGTGACGGTGCCATCCCACCATTTTTTGTCTTCTGTCTGTCTTTTACTACTTTTGCCTAAAGGTGGAAACATGTCGGAACAAAGTGGAAGGAAGGTTGCCTCTTATGACGTGCCAAAGTCATTTCAACTTTCTCTTCAATATGGTGGATATTCCATGTAGCCTACTTTTTAATATCAAAGGCTACATAAACAGTTTCGACATCTGAATAAAAAGAACATTAAAAGACCGTCGAGTTATGCCATATTAGATGGCAAACCCATCTCAGATTAGTATTTTTAAAATTAACTGTAGGCTCCATACATGTGACCTTCTACAAAACTAAGTAAACACCCATCAGAGTAATTTCAATTATCTTACAACTTAGTGAAAACACGCGCAGTCTCTATCTCTCCACACACAGGCACACACACACGCTCACATATATATAGGGGTCCTCGACTTACGTTGGTGGTCCGTTTCTACGGCGCGACGTAACCTGATTTTCAACGTAGGACAGAATTCACCTACATAAGCTCCCATGAGTCTGCCTTACGCTTGGGAGCCAAAATGAAGGGTAAAAAGTTCCTATAAAAACGACACAAACAAGTAATAGCTAATGTAGCACAATCCAATATGGCGTACAGTCGGTGAAAAACAACGCCTTCAACCTCATATAGCGCCGGAAATGAAGCCGTAACTGTGAAAGGCCGTACATCGGTTCCAATGTAAACTGAGTACCTTCTGTATATATATATATATATATATATATATATATATATATATATATATATATATATATATATATATATATATAAACTGCTTCCAGCAAAATAATAGTTAGAATAAGCTACAGCAATCAACCCCAAAATTGAATAAATCGCTTTATTTTCCCAAAACAATACAAAACTATTAAATAAGCTATATAAACAATTTTTTACTACGTTAATAAAACACCGATTAAAATAAAAATACATAAATAAATATATAAGATAAAAAATAAAAATAAATAAAAACAAGCAAAATAAATTAACCGAAATAAATAAACAACTTCCGGCAAAATAACCACCAAAATGGACTACCCACAATGCACCACTGACCCGTATATATAAATAGCCGAGAAAAAAACAACACTCGTGGCCTGACGATTGCGTCTAAGTGTTGACTTCAATGTTCACTTTTATATATATATATATGTGTGTATGTGTGTGTGTGTGTGTGTGTGTGTGTGTGTGTGTGTATGCGTATTTGGGCATGGTCTGCGAATTTTGGTGAGATATTTATGGATTTTGTGTGACATAGAAGTTTAAATGCCTCAACAGGAGAAAAACAAAGGTTCTCCCCTCACCCAATCTTCCAACACTTCGACGCTGCAAAAAAGCCCCCCATTAGATTAGTACAGATTTCCTCCGAAAAATGCATAAAGCCAACAAACTGTTATCATTATTTGATACAGAAGGATTTTTTTAGCATTCCCATATCCAAAACCTACCTTTCGTCTCTGCCGCAGGTGAAGGATGATCATCTGCTATGCCCTGAAATACGCTTGAGCATGGATGTACCTTGCAGTGTAATAATATCGGCTCGGAATGAGAAATTGTTGAGCCGAGTTCGAATTCCGGTCGGTTTCCTTAAATTCAGTTACGCGAAAATACTCGTGGGAAAGGTATGAGTTCATTTCTTCTCCCCCAGTTATGGGTTAAAGAGCAAGACACTATGTCCTGAAGCCCTTGTTGGCAACTACTCATGAATTGAAAGACATGATCGGACAACCGTGTATCACGGATGGCACTTAACTGACTGACGCTTGACAACTTAACTACATGGAATTCTTCTATGAACCAATTCTTTGGAGGCACCCAACATTTTTCTGAACATGCTTTAACGTTACGTGCAATTTTAAAAAAATAAAGACACTTTTCTGTAATCATTCCAGCATCATTAACCCTAACGAGAATCTAATGGTTATTTTTATGTCATTTTTATATTATAATGTTCCCCTGTGCAAGGCTCAAGAGCCACTCGCGGTAGAAGATTAAAGAGTGAGAGGCACAGTGTTTAGGAATATGTGGGGAAGATAACGATTAGCCCTTGATTTGAACAGGTTAAGATTGTAGTTATCGGGAAAGCATCGTTAGAGTCGGCTTCACGAAGCATCGGTTTTTGCTAAGGTACCACTCAAGCGGAACTAACATCTCACCAATGGAATACGAAGGCGGGGTTTGACCGTGAAAGCTGAAACGGGTAGAACTAAGTAAATTATTTCGTTTGAACGCTTTACATGGAAATAGCGATAGAGCATTGAACGCAATTTACTTTATTCGGATTAACGTCCTCATCTTTGTTGACATATTTATCACGACATTTCGGCCGTTGTACGCTCCGGTCTTCTTCAGGTGGTTGGAATGTCAAACTGAACCCTTTATTAACCTCAAGGATACATGGCACAGTGGATAAAAGCGTTGGTTAGATTCAGTGACAGGACCCAAAGAGTGTGAGTCCAATACCTGGTTAAGGCGGTGGAGAACTTGGAGAGGGGAATTAACATGAGATAAGTTATAACTGACATTAATTAAACATGAACGTGGAACTAGAACAGTCTACCCTAGTGAGCGAAATAAAGGGTTCAGTTCGACATTCCAACCATCGGAAGAAGACTGGAGCGTACAACGGTCGAAACTTTATAATAAATATGGCGACAAAGAAGAGGACAATAGTCAGAATAATGTAAATAGTGTACATAATACCTCATCTCAAAAATATAGACGGTATTGAACGCATAAAATAATTTCCAATATAAATTAATCGTGATTATTTCTTCGCGTTATGCTTTTTTTTTTCGGTTTACGAACGGTTTCATAGGTTTGATTTGTTTTTTGGTTTCTCAACCGTTTGCAGGTTATTTAAAGCCAAAATCTATTTTTAGCTTGTAAGAAATTTTGAAGAAAATAATGATTTATTGATACAAGTCCTACTAATTAAACCAAAGCTGGGAGAGAGGCGGGGTCTATTTCCACGAAAGGTTTCATGGGAACACGCTACTTTCAGAGGGAGGTTGTGTCTAGAAAAATCAAAATTCTCTCGGTGTATTTAGATGAAATCTAGAAAAACAATTACGAGAAAACAAGAGTGATAGCGTATTCGACTTACGATCATAAGGGTGATGAATTTGAGTTGGTCGCTTTTATTGATACGTGAGGTAATGTTTGCTCTTTGAAAACAAATAGGCGTTCTCTCTGCGGAAATCCTGAATTGTCTTCTTTAATTACTTCTCAGCCGACACTTGTATGACATCTTTTCATTACCACCTTTCTTCAGAATTGAATTCCTTTAGATTATAAGGTGTCTTACGTGGGGGGGGGGGTCACCCGTAGTGACAGGACCGCCTCCTCATCGCTGCACATATACCCACGAAAAAAGAGCAGAGGTGTGGAGACTAATTTCAATATATTCTCTTCCTCGACGTACAGTTTCAAATAAGCAACTATCTCAAAATGTCTGCCCCAAATCAACCTACTTTCAGCAGCTGGTTTTATGGAAATACTTACATCCTGTTATTAAACAAATTTTCTTTTCTCTGGCCAAACTCTGATAAGGTGTAATTACCTTAAGGTAATTGCTATTGCCGACAGTGAAAGCCTCCATCAGTCCTACGGTTACACACTTCTTCAATAAAGTCCACTGGCAGAACCTTAAAGAATGTGTGTCTGTGTGTGCGGCGGGGGTGTGGTTGCGCGCTTTATGTCAAAAGAGGATATGGGACTTATATAAATAATTTAATTTTATAGGCTCTGGAATATTTACTAGGTTTACCTTAGTAGGGTACAAGGCCAAATGTGTGCAAAAAGTTAGGAAGATCGTGATGCGCCAGTTTTACAACTAATAAATGTATATTTTATCTGAGGAGTTTTCACTGTCACTTGCTGATAATTTAGACGTCTTCCCTACTTTATCACACACACATACATACACACACACACAAGTGAGAGGGTGAAAGAAAGAAAGAAAGAAAGAAAGAAAGAAAGAAAGAAAGAAAGAAAGAAAGAAAGAGAACAAAATGTAAGATATGTCTGGAAATATCCAATCACTTAATATGAGTGAAAAATAGCCTACCTAGGGTAATCGCACTTTAGTCAATTTAAAAATGTCCCTTTTGGAACATCTCACAATTTTCTAGAATTTTTCAAAATGTCTGAATACGTCACTCTTTCTTTTTTACCCGCTTAATTTCCACTTTTACTTGCAGATAATTTAATAGATTTCTTCGTTACCTTATCTTCCCACCCCCTCCAACTACATACGTATCAAAATTTGTTTTGCTTACTGGAAAGTGTCAAAATGATCGAAATAGAATAAAATTTGTAATATTGATTCAAATTCTTTCCGTTTAAGAAAATCGTCTTTGCTTATCTTATCAACACAAACAGAAGAATATAATACTAAAAAAAAACTCCTCTTTTCCTACCATTTCCAACTTATTCTTCTTCATAGAGTATCCTCTTTATTTGCCATTGTTTGTTTAACCATTATTCCTTTTCTTATATATTTTACTGGTGCCACGTTCTGAAAAGAATGGAGGTCGAAACTTGAAATCAAGCAGCGGACTTTTTCAATGGCAACTCATCAGCTCACATTGCTTGTCTAAATGACTGTATTCATAGAATAAGAATGAATAAAAGAATTATTCTTGTAAATGTCAGTAGTACATGACAATTGCTAGTCGGCTGTGAATGAATTCACAGTCGGCAATGGGAAATATTTACTAAACTAAGCTTTATAGGGCACAAGAAGTATATAGATAAGAAAGCAGGAATATCGAGGTCTGCCAATCTTTCACATGAGAACCAACCTGCCAATCTGTCTTGGAAGCGACTTTAACTCTCCTCGCTGTTCCACTGGCCTTTATACGGATCACTGGCGACACTGGGAAATACGCCACTCGCTATTCTAGCAAGCAAACTATATCATGGCTTAAGCGATCAGATCAGCTTTCATTGTGTTCAAACTTATTCATTAAATCAGTTATTGATTTCAAGATTAGATTGTTAACCCTTTTCCCACAGTTTAACTCCTTGCACGTTAATATGGTACAAGTTTGAAAATTATGAAGCACCCGATTAACATTGAACTCACTCCTGTAATAATTTTGAGATGATTACTGCCCACGATCAATTTTCCATTTAACTTGACTAAATTTAATCGATCACAAAGCTCTACGTTGTTTGTTACTTAGTTAATATCGAAGAGAGAAATCTTCGAATTTTACGACTGTGAGACACCTCTTAAGGATTTGAACCTTGAGACATAACAACTTGCTGATGGACTTATCCTAAAAATGTTAGTAAATGTCGTTAGTTCAGTACAATGGACAACAGAATTAATGAACAGAGAATCAAATCAAATGACTAATAGAAACTTGCTCATCGGAACAACCGTATTCTTCTTACATTATTAGACTGTTTTTTTTTTTATTTGTTCATATTTTTTTCTCTGGATGCCTTCCCTGTCAGTAGCAGATCCTCGTTTTAGATAAAGACAATGGTAACAGTAGTTACATTATTCGGAGGAATATGTAAACAATGCAGTCGTTAAATTTACCCTATTCTCAAAAGTACGGAGCAGTACTTTACTGATTCATTTTACAGACTCAAAAACTGAAGTAATTACTCCTACCTGTTAACTCTTACTTATTAGACAACGGGTGTTCCAATAATCTGGTATTACGACTTCAATAAAAATTTTAGAAAATAAAAAAAAATCAATTTATGAAATAAACAAATCCTAATATCTCTTTTTATGTGTGTATAGGGTGTATGCATGTCCTTGTTTTAGATAAAGGAAATGGTAGTAACAGCCCCAATATTCGTGAAAATATCTTAACGAAGACTGCACTTAGTAGATCTATGCTATTCTGAATGGTCTGGAATATTACTACACCGTAAGGCAGCTCGATTTTGCAACCGTGAAAATGGAGCCCTGAAATGATAAATAACGATTTTTTTTTCAAATCGTTACGAGTTTTTGAGGAAACGAGTTTTTAAAGATTAAGTTTAAAATCGTAGCGTTGGAATTTTATTCCGGTGATCCGTGAAAGCTTTATAGCAGAGCCTTTTAGAATTTAGAATTTCCTGCGGCTTTATAAATTGTATATAGGCAAGATAAAAGGCTCAAGGACATTATAACCAAATCACTGTGCCATCAAATAAAATCCTCATTTACTTCAAAGGAAAATTATACTGAATATTTCAGTTATATTATGATATAATATGTTATACAGTTCAGTAGTTTTAATGTGTTTTTCAATAAACAATGCAAATTTAAAACTTTTAACTTATAATTTGTGCCAAGCACTATTATGGTGTTATATACACTTTTATCTTCTTTTTTTTATTAATTACTAGCAGTAGAGCCCGGCGTTGCCCGGGGATGTAACAGTAAGAGATAGATCAAGTATCGACCATCATAAAGACTGAAAAATAAAGTTGACAAAGATTATTGTTTAAGGTTGACGGACAAGCATGTCTTAATTAGTTTTTCATTTTTTTTTACGAATTGGTCAAACCCAAACTCAAACAAAAACATTGTTTTCAATCGTTATGAGTCTATCGATTGAATAGAATTTTATTATAAACAATTGTCTTGTAAATGGAATTTTTAAAGCATTCTGAATGTAAAAATAAAGAAAAAAGTGTGCAAGACAATAAGAAACACTACTTGCCAAAAAAAAAGTGAAGTTTTGTTGAAATAGGTTGAAAAAGGTAGGAAATCCGATCCAATATATAAACGAACACACACACACACACAAACAACCTGGGTTTTATAATAAGTATAACTCAAGATGAGTTGTCCCCCCTTTATTCTGGCGACAGAATCGTGTTTTATTGTGTTTTTCCAATTTTTGGTGCTGTCAGAATCACCGCAAGCTAATTTTATGTAGTCCTGTGAAGCTTTGTTGAAATCGGTTGAAAAATGTAGGAAGTCCGATCTAATATATAAACGTACAGACACACACACACACACACACACACACAATTTGCGTTTTATAATAAGTAAGATGATCTAACAAATCTTATTTATTGAGTAGACATTTTTTTTAAATTTGTTTTTACTTATCGAATACTGTAAAAATTACATATTTTGGTTGTGTTGAGTTATAATTAAAATTCTGGTTTGAATATATTTTCCATTCAATTGTATCTAATACATTAAATTTCTTTGGATTTATTCTTGAAATAGTAACATTTTGAGATCAGTTTGTAAGCACAAACCTGTAGAAATTAGATATTTCGGTACATTTTCTCCAGAACACCTTTAAAACGAAATGTTCAAAAATTGATAAAAGTTATTAATCAAATTTTTGGTGTCAGTACAATCAAACAATCATACATCAAACCGCAGTTTTCACACGGAGTTCAATGATGATTTTCTCAAAGATAAAACATACTCTACAATAGATACTGTTTCACGTTATTTCACGAGCGTTAAAATTGAGGATATATGATGTTAGCGTTATATTGGAGACTGGTCTAAGCAAACTAGTAAGTTCTATGAGTTCAATAGGTTAATGAATCTCTTTACTGTTAGATTTCTGCAAAAGTTCCCAGTATTCAACATCTGTAGCTTTTTATTACAAACAAAATATTTTCTACTGTAGAGTGTTACAAGTTTTCAAAAACGAGGGCGCAAGGCACATTTACGAACGCACCTATATTTCTATCTATTACGCTTTTTTTCTTAACCCCAAGTCGATTGTTTTCTTCTTCGTCTATGTGCAGTTCCCCGTGAAGACGACGTCGATCATGGTTCTTCACAACTTCCTATCCTTTATGGCCGAGTGGTTAGAATGTTCACATTCTGACTATGAAACCAGGGTTCGAATCTCACTATGGTCGATTTGTCAGGAAGGAGACTCCCTGATGTTGTCGAACTGTAGGGGTCGTTCCCAGCGTGCTGCACCTTTGGAAAGTGCCTGAAAACTATACCACAGGTTAACCCAAGCTTTGTGATTGAAATTGGGTAGATGGAACCTTTGGCGGCCATCGATGTCTGTGCTAGCACGAAGTCCCAAGTCATCATGGCCGAGGGCTTGAGCGTGATGGTCTTGTTGAAATTGTTGATCCGCTATATAACACGCTTTTTCCTAGAAACAGTACCTGAGGTTTGCTCAGCATTGTTGCAGTATAAAGCGTAGGTGGACACTGTGGGTGTTGAATAAATACAAATGCGCTTAAGCAAGCGTCAGCAATAAGGATTGGCTAGCCGCTCTAGTAGACGTGTATCCTCGAATACGAGTCTACACACACACACACACACACACACACACACACACATATATATATATATATATATATATATATATATATATATATATATATATATATATATATATATTTGTAGCTCTCAGTAATGTTTGTCATTTTATCACCCTTTCCACTTTCTGCCATCCATTCACATAAGCTCGTCAGGTAGGGTGCCTACTACCACCTTTTGTCTTTGATATTTCTTGTGAGTGTCAGATTTTCTAGGTCTTCTTTCCTCATTATGTGTTCTAAAAATTCCAACTGTCCCTTTCTGAGTTCTGAGTACACGTATCATTTTTGTTTCCGTTTTCCTTAATCTTCTTCGTTTTTTGGAATTCTCAGTATCCTTCTGTAGAAGCACCTTTTGTTGTCTTACCTTACAGAAAAAAAAGGAGTGGGAATAGAGCATACCAATATCGATTCGTTGTCGACTTTCCTTTTTTTTTCGCGGGAGCTGAGGCACTAATAAATTTTTCGTGCAGCTGCTTTAACTAGATAAATATCGGTTTTGGGTGCGCGGAGAATAACTTGAAATTGAAAAAAAGTAAATGTATAAAATAAAGACGATATTAAAGCAAATTTCACTTGAAGTGTAGGAAAGAAAACCCCGGGAATTAAGTACAGTGAAAATAATTATGATTTTTCTCGTTCTGCAATATGGAGTCGTAGAAAATATGTCAGATATTGCCAGAGTTTATTTGGTCTCTCTCTCGTTTCCATGTCGTGGTAACAACCAAACGAAATAAATACAAAATCTCGTTAATTAACGC